GCCACCATATTTCAGCTCCATAGTATGCAATTGGCAGTACGCATGATATTACTGCTCGCCGGAGGAGCCTTGAGGTGACGCCTCGGGTAGTGTTCCCTAGATTTTGTAATGCATTTGCAATTTTGAAAGCTTTGCCAGCTAGAGTACGCACATGTCATTTTCAAGTGAGATTTTTATCAAAGTACACTCTGAGCCACCTTGTATAGGGACGAGATGCATTTTCGGAGATGAAAAATCCCTCACAATTGATAGGCAGTGTGGAGTTTGGATCCTTGTCTGCACGTCTCCGGGAGAAGTGTTGAAGTTCTGTCTTTCCTGGATCAAAGGTTATGCCTTCTCCTCGGCCCCAGGCCAATACCTCTTGCAGCGAGGCTGTCAAACGGCCGCAATTTTCTTGGAGTGAGTCACGCGTCTCAATTAATGCAATGTCATCTGCATAGCCGAACCTCAGAGATACTTTCCCCATTTTAAATATAGGTGAGATGTAAAACATAAAAAGGATTGGGGAGGCGGGCGATGTCGAATAAGTTATTCATTATGCGCATAAATATTAGAATAGATTGGAAGACGAGGTAACAGCCAAGATTGCTAAACATAGGCTGGTTGATGAGAATCACACGAAAGCTTACTCGTATGTATTGTTGCGAGTAAGGGTTAAGTTTAGGTATACTCAGCCTCGCAATCTTACAAAGCCATTTTAGGCAAATTACATTTTTAACTCGACATTATTCAATTAGAATGACCTAAAATTAGTTGGATGGTCAAGTCTTTTATTTTCCTTATGATCATATTCATTCGTATATATAGATCTATAGTTCCGGGAAAATAGAATCAAGTTGTTTTTACTGAGTTATCTTATTCTTCAATCTTAAATACACATTGTCTGCCATAGGTCAGACACCCAGATACCTGACAGGCGACCCTTGGGGAAGTCCGCAGTTGACCTGCTGGAGTGGGCCAGTTTCCCCATCTAGACGAATTTGAACCGGGCGACCAGTGGTAAACGAGCTTACCCAATTAACAAGAGACTCAGGCCAGCCTTGCTCGCGCAAACGTCGCGCTAGTCTACCTGGCAGAATAGCGTCGAATGCGCCCTTAACGTCAATTGTAAGCAAAGTAGGTGTGTGCCCTTCGTTTAGGGCTATTTCAACATCGTGTGTAAGGCAAGTGGTGAGATCTACTGCGGATCTTCCTGGGAGAGCTCCAAATTGCTGACTGGCTAATACCTTTTTCCGGAAAGAAATCCAGGCAATACTTTTGGCCAGGAGCCGTTCTAATCCTTTCCCTAGTGCTGATAGAAGCGCGATTGGGCGGTATGATCGCGGGGAAGAGAAGTCCGATTTTTTAGGTTTCGGTAACATAACCAGTATGGCTTGGCGAAAGCAACGAGGGTGGTATCCTAGTGAAAGACAGCTGTTGAAAAGAGTGTAGACGAGGTCTGTAATCAGGGGCCATGCGTATCGGAGGACTTTGGAAGTTATCTCATGGCTACCAGGGGCTGTAATGCTACACCTAAGTATTGAAGCTTGAATCTTTTCCATTGATAATGGGGGGAACTCAATTGCGCGTGTCGGGACGGCTGGAGTGTCCATAGGAATATCCCCTGCCTCAGCAAGGTTGACAAGAAGATTTTCGATGAGGACCTCTCTTTTATCCGCTAGAGTTGTCACTGGAGGATTTTGAGGAAACCTAGGGTCTTAAAGAGGAGTTGAGCGATATATAACTGTGGACTTGTGCCATTTAGATATGGCAAAGATATCCTTGCCTGTACAAGCTTTCCTATGTAGAATATGTTTTTCGCCATCTTGATAGTTTTACGATAAGTTTTCCTCGCTTCCTTGAGCTCTTCAACAGTTAGAGGGGTCTTTATTGCTGATTTGAAGATCTGGCGGGCGCATTTGCAAGATTTGTTCCACCAGGGGTTACTTTTACCGTGCCCTAAAGAGCGACGAGCCGCTGAAGCATATGCCATCCAGATGGCCTCTACTAAGTCCTTAGCAAAACTATCCAAGGAATTTTCGGTAATAGGAGACGGAAGTGTGCAGAGTCCGCCTAATGAGATGGAAAGTAAGCGACAAAATAGTGCAGCGTCTAGCATATCGACTCTAAGTCTCTCCAGTGGTTCCACATATCCCACTCAATCGATATCAGTGAGGAGTGGTGCGTGGTCTGATGTTGTGTCTAGATGCGTGCCGACAGTGCTTTTTGCGCTTTGAGCTAAAGGGCCGGGCCCGAAGGCTAGGTCAAGCACATTTTCACAGTTATGAGTTGCCACATCTAATGGAGAGTGTAGAGCAAAGTTGTTTTTATCTGCCCATTCCAAGAAGCTCTCAGCACCTGCTGAGGGTCTGCTTAGCCAGGACGGCTGCCACCTTGGGTGATGAAGGTTAAGGCCCCTATAACAATGGAGCTGCAATTTGTTGGAATGGAGAGTGTGAGAAGAGGATGTAAAGCGCTTCCACCGGTAGAGCCTGGAGGTACGTTATAAATGATGATCTGCAAGGCTTTCCCTGAGGGTGATTTCAGACGGAGAGTGAGTATGTCGCCAGAGAGATTATTATATATTTGGTCTGCACGTAGTCCAACCCCTTTGCGCATGTATGAGATCACTCTGGGCCTGGTGATTGGCCAGTCATCAATCGGAGAGAAACTCTCATATGATGGATGGTACTTCGTAATCCGTCGGGCGCGATCACGAAAAATGTAAGGTTCCTGAGTCAAGATAATATCTGCTAATATAGTAAAAGCTTCGTTGAGGGCAATCTCATGCGACAGAGCGCCTCTGCCGACGTTCAAGGAAAAGACCGTTAATGGCTTAGACGAAACCTTGTGGGACTTATAGCCATCCATTATTTATCGACTTTAAAGTTGTTGTCGACATTGTTTATGGATGTCTGTTACCACAGACATTGTAAATATTTCATGAGATTGCTTAATGAGAGGCTAGTATTGATTCCGATATAATATTGTAGAAGACTTGTCCCAAATATCAGAGGGCCACAACGTCTTTATCTATCTACAGGTAAATTCCCTATATTCCAACCACACTAGCCAAACAGGACGTAGCATGTAAAACCTGGTTCGTATCATCAATTTGGGGTTGAGGTTTACCGTGCATATGCTACTCGTGTCGCATGTCGGACTACTATGCGACACGCTCAGGTATCAATCTAACAACCCACACCAAAACCGAAACTACTCACAGCCCTGATGATGATCCCATGAATAATTGTAACAGTAGCCTGCAACATAGCACAATTAGGCTAGACATTGTTGACCAGGACCTAATCCGAACAATTATGCTTCCATTTTGTCATTTCTCTGATCCTCTTCGACGTTAAGGGCATTGAAGTGGTTCTTGGTAACAATTTCTTATGTATCCTATGCTGTCCTTAGTCCGGCAGGGCTGAGGTGTTGAGATGATGACAGCTTGTCGTTACGCGCTCCTGAATTGGCTTGGGGAGGGGGCTTCGCACAGCCCGCTTCTGCTTGTCTGCGCATACGGGCATCTGCATTGACTTTTCGGACCGCACTCACCTGAGCTTTGGTCAAAGGTGGTCCCGTAGCTTTAGGCTTGAGCTCACACTTGGCATTGTCAGCGGCATGAGGGCCGTGACAGTGAACGCATCTAGGTGGATAGGTGTGATCACCTGTGGCTGCGCAGTGGTTACCACGCTCGTTTTCAGTATGGGTTCCCGAACCACATAGGCGGCACCGGGGGGAGGTCGCACAAGTTCGTGTATTATGCCATAGCCAGCATCTATTGCACTGAGCAGCTATGTAGCACCGAGGGAGAGTTTTTGTGATCGTACGGCAACCAAACAGAAAGAGAACACGAGGAAGACGTTGGCGAGTTTCTGGAAAGCGAACAATCCATTTTATTGAGGAGGAGTCTGGGTTCTCCTCATTATCGCGCGACGCAAGGATGGCTACCGGGGCTGTTCCTGCGGCAGCTGAGAGTGCTTCGTGCATAGCAGCGGCAGTGACTGGTCGAAGGCAGTATCTGAGTTCGTCGTTGATGGTTCCAAAAGTTTGTAGGACATTATTAATCCTATGTAAAGTCCACGGTGAACCACTTTCGACTGCAACATTATCAAAAATACTCATCTTCGAGATTTCTTCCTTAAGTTTAGAGGTTTCTCCATCTTTGGGGCAAAGGGCGAAAACGGTCTTTGTGGACTGCACGTTAACTAGAACTCGCCCTTCGTTTCCTAACTTAGCTTTCAGGTGAGACTGGATAGCGTACGCTGAGAGACCCCTGAGCTTATCTCCATCAGGTATGCGGATAAATAGACGATCGTCAGCGCGATGTCGTTGCGGTTGTGTTTTTAGGCTAGGAAGTGCTGGCTCTCTACTACTGTGTATATTCTCGGTGTGGATGCCCTGGGGTCGGCGAGCCACCTTGGCGTATATTAAAGTCTCCGGCGCTTGCGGAGTTCGGCAAGGCTCAGGAATTGGTTCAATTTTTGATACTAGTTTTCCGCTTGTGTAGGCATCAAAGTGACGGGTAGCAACCTCAGCTAGATCTTTGCAGAATTTTTTGAGGGCCAAACGTTGATAAGCAGGGAGTGAGTTGTGACTTGGTGCGTGTCAGGATCTGAGGATAGAGCAGCACCCTCATATTCTTTCCCTACACTACATCTGAATATTCTTTCATCTTAGAGCGTTTACCGGGTTACAATGGTTGCTATGGGTTACAGATAAAGTATTAGAATAGCAGCAGGCGCATCCCTTGACGTCTTATTTGCTCTGGTTACTATGATGTATATAAATGGGTTGGGTAGAGCTACCTCTTGTTTACCGTCTTCCATTGACCTTGTCTCCTGACCTAGTTTCTCTTGTCCCTTGTCCTCAGTTATAGCTAGAATCCCGAATTAATACCTTAGTCTATGACAAATCTTGTCAGATATCACTCACACTTCCAAGTTATCCATCAAACACACCCTGATACCCTCGAGTTTGACATTGCGGCCCAATGATTGTCCAATTGCGAGGCGATACTACCAACGATTCAGCTTCCTTCGCTCGGCTTTCTGCAGCAGCAACACTTCTTCCCAGTGCCTCTCTAAAAGAACCAGATGGGTTGGGCGCGTCAAACGGGTCATATATGGGTTCGTCTGGGAGCTCGTCATATTCTAGAGTGATGCCATGCTCGTAAGGAGTTTGGCTGGGGCTAGGATAGTCGAGGTCTTGATTGGGATGATTTTTTTTTTGTTTTTTTGCATCAGATTTTAATTGCGTATGCAGCTATCTAGCTATGACACAATATCAAAGAAAAGCACAGAAAAGATGACTCGGTTTACAAGAGGAGCACTAATGCCCCGGGTTTCATTTGCGAGTACCGCTGTGAAGTTATGTTGCCATTTTTTGGCCTAAAGTCAATGATCATCCGTATTTACCTACTCAGGGGAACGCCTCAAAAACCCTGAGTTATCCAGACATGCCTCTGTCATCCTTCAACTTTTCTCCGCGCGGTATATAATCTGAGGTGTCTCCTTCCCAAGTGGAGTAGGTGCCCAGGCTACTCAAACCATACCAGAGAACACCACCAGGAGGCGGACCACAACACCTTCCATCGTCGGCTTGTTTTTATAGTGTCAGGTGCACTCTCGCAAGCGAAGTCTTGGCGCGCACAAAGCTCAATTCGTAAAACTCTTGCCAAAATTCGAAATTTCACGCCCGTCGAAAGACGTATCCCTCTTCTGCATCATCTTGTAAAATTTGTCCTGATTCCTCTCACGTCCATCCCAAAGAGCTATCTCCCAGATTTGTGCTCCACGCTTTGCTTCCTCCGTCGGGTATAAATATCGGCGTGGGCGTGCATTTGGTGACCGGCTAAGGCCAGAGAAAAGTCGACGAGAGGTGTGGTCATTGAAACGAGGATGTATTAGGTCGTACTTGTAGACTTGATGAAACTTAGTTTAGAATCGGACTCTTTGGGAGTGAAAGATTGACATGGTAGAGTAATTTGAAATTTTGCCTCGTGGGCCAACTTCTTTGATATTGCGAAATTTGGCTGAACTTGGCTCTGGGAGAATATTTCACTCCCAGGTTCGTAGAAGACACCGCGTACAGGTGTTCAGTCTTGCCCTCCGATTGGGATGATTGGAGGGGTGCGTGGGAGGGCGTTGAGCCTGTAGCTCCAACATTGGCAGGTGCGCCGATTGTATGACGCGGTTTTCTTTTATGCGCGGTTTAGCAATGCTTGATGTACTCTGCTTAGGCTTTAGAATAGTGTGTGTATAAGGAGAAGTGTTTGTGAGAGGGGGGATTTTAATTGGAGCCAGGATTAGTTTGACAATAGAGGTATGTAACTAGATTCAGAGTTGTTGTGTTGATTCTTGTGTTTGGATTGGTGCTTTAGAGTATTGTGAGTGTATAAATAATGTTGGTGAATAGTGTACATGAATGTCTCTTAAGAGGGCAAGACTGAACACCTGTACGCGGTGTCCTCTACGAACCTGGGAGTGAAATATTCTCCCAGAGCCGAGATTCAGTCTAGACAAAGGGTGAATTTGAGAGTTTTCGTCGAGTTGGCGATCGGGAGGAGCGGTGTAGGCTCTTTTTTGGTCGAAAATCCGACTTGCAGAGATTTCACGACTGCACAACTCAACGAAATCAACCATCTACACCTCAGATACGAACCGCAGACAGATTGTAACCTGTCTGATGTTCGTATCACAACAACCGACACCTTAAAGATCCTATTTTCTTTTTCTCTGGAAATTCATTCTCAGCCAAACTCATTTCGCGGCCCTCTCCACAATCATCTCATCACCTATCGAAGCAATCCCACACCTCCAAAAGCCAAAACTCCATCAAAGAAACTAGAAGATATCCGACCCTCCGCAACTGCCAGTTACTGTGAAGGTACGGTCGAAATACCGGCCCTAAATGCGTCCTCACCTCGGCCAAGGGCACCAACAACTCGACCTACGACGAATCGCTACCAACGAAATACGTACGACATTTCGCCGGCACAATAACTAGAGCGTTCGACAAAGGCAGGGGCACCGGTGCCTCTGTTTTGAGCTCTCAGTCGCGTTTACGACCTCCACGGTTAGGGGTACGGCAGTGACGGGGCAAGGCCGGAGGGGTGGACATTCTACAAAGTTTCTGGGATGACGAAATCGGCTGAAGGGCAGAGGGATGCTGTATGAAGGAGCCAAAAGGGAATACAAACTAAGGAGGCCTTGGTGGGCGACTGGATGAAGCCTCCAGTGAAGAAAACGACCCCTGGATGAGATGAGGAGATGCTGAGATGAGCCAAAGCTGCGAATGAATCTAAGGGAAAAGTTACAGATGGTGGAGGTGTCAAGGACTCGGGCGCGCGGTGGCCGAGGCTGAGGAGGAATTTACGCTTTGGCGCGCTAAAAGGGGGTTCTCTGGACGGTTGGGCTTTACATGATTCTGTTGGAAATCTAGACTCAGTATATATGAGGGTTTAGATTTCTAAGTATGATCATCAAGATCAATTCAATTGACCCGATTGCATATGGTTAATCTTAAATGGGCGACACAAGGTTCAGTGGTATCTTAAAAGCAGTGGCTAGGAAATGCTACCTGGCGATAAATGAGTGGCTGGTTGTTGCTAGATCACTGGGAGTTCTGGATCACTAAAGCCTTGGGAATCTGTATCTAAGGAAAGACTCACTTGTATATGTTAAACAAAGTCAACGGAGTATTATAAATTATTAATTCATATTGAGAAGAGATTTCGATATCATATACAACTATCAATAAATTCTTGTCCGAAATTGTACACTTTTTCTTCGAGATATTTCCTCCTAGAAATCCTCGACAATTTCTAACAGATTCAACTCACGGATGAAGTCTGAGGTGGTCCGGTCATTTAAGTGGGACAAGGTAGATGTACTTAATGGTAGTTAACCTGATCCACCCAGGTCCCGCCCGTGCTTAAGCTCCAGTAGGAGTGCAACGGGAATCACCGTAGCTAGCACGCCCATGAACAAGACAAGACAAGACAGGTATCAGACTCCCTTTAATCCCAATGGATAGCCCGTGCGGGATCTCCTATTAACAGCAGTAAATAACGCTAACACAGGGTATACGCCATCTCCGTTCGCCAAACCTCAGTCAGTCGGGACTGCTTATAATCGAGCCTAGTAGGATTGACATAGTTTGTTATGTTTTTTTTGTTTTTGTCCTAAGCTAATGCTATTTTTTCCACAATGGGTCAAAGACAGGTGGAGCAGGTGAGGATCACTGTATACAGGCCCAACTCATTCCAACCGCGTGAATCGCTACCAAAGGTGCAACTGATTAAACAGAAACGAAAAATCAAGAATATCAAAACAACTCCGAAAACCAGAAGATTCCTCCACATTGGATCCAGTCAATGTGCTCCTCACACATCCTGTCGTCCGTCACACCTTCCAAATGACAAATTTACTTAATCTCCGCTGAGAGTAGTAGATGAGTTAGCGGGCACCTTTGATCCAGCCGGTATCATGCTATTGGTTAGTAGATGCCCCAGAAGGGGACAGTGTCGAGGTTGCTGTGTCCTCAAACTTCTTCTTCAGATCCCAGCACTCCGAAACCTATTGCTTTGGCCTTTGCGACATCCTTCGCCGCGGCGACGATCGCCCCTTCGGCTTTTTTGGCTGCGGCCCTAGCTCGAGCCGTCTCTGTGAACTTCCTTTGCTCGAGGTGGCGAATCCGCGCGAGCTGCTCTTTGGTCACCGGTCCAGACTTTCTGGGTCTGACTTGGCAGGCCCGAGAATCCGATCGGTTGGGTCCCCCACTGTTGCGACACTTGGTGAGGGTCTTGCACTCGGCTTCCGAGTGCATGTTTGATCCGCAATTCCAGCAGGCTGGAGCGCGGGAGCAACCACGAATGGCGTGGAAGCCCAAACAGCGTTTACACTTTTCAATTTGGCGACGAGGCTTGTGAATGGTAGCCATACCAGACTCGTCGAAGAGGCGGAAGCCCGCACGAGGGGCGTTGTCCCGCGTAAATAGGGCATGCCAGTTTTGTTACGGTGCCCCAGGGATTGACATAGTGTATCCCAACACAGAAACAATAGGAAACTCAACAACCAAATCCGTCATCAATTACTACCATTAAGTATCACTTGACTTGTCTTTGCAATCCATAATTTGAACGTCGCAAAAACGATAATTGCGACCATAACCAACGGCGGCAGAGGGCGGACAGCTCCATATGTTAAGTACCTTGAAATCCTGGGGAAACTATTGAAACGGGTCAGATAAATTTTCATGGGCTAAATGGATGAAGACCTATCATCAATGAGGGAAGCTAACTAGGCCTTGAAGGCTTTAAACGCGCATAAAAGGGCCTCGATGAAAGTGTCCCAGATGAAGTCTCCAATCGACGAATAGGCGATGGCACTAGAAGAGGCAGTTAAGAAGATCTTCGTGGATCCCTCTCATGATCTTACTCCAGGAGTGGGAACGGGGATTTCGCCAACAATAACCCACACGTCGATCGTTGTGTGAACTGGCTCACAGCATGTTATGTACAAGGGTCTAGTTGAGACTTTTTCCTTATAGGGAATAGCGTTTAGCTAAAGGTAAGAATGTATTTATAGAATTCCTCCCGGCAGGGAGAAGAAGCAGAAATGAATTGAGTAACCCCACACAAGCTTGTGAATTGACCATTGGTAGTGTTCCGACAATCGTATCTACTCACATAGCCAGAATTAGGAGTTCGTATCAGAATTTGTGAATCGGACAAACTGCAGCCGGAAAAGCTGCTTTCAAAGGTAAAAGAGCACCTTCAAGGTGCATATGCAATTCGATAGATGCGCAGCTACGAAACTGAGGTGTTCGTACACTCCGCATCCTAGAGAGACGCGGCACTTCATATGCGTCACTTCCTTTGCGTCAACCAAGTGAATTTCAAATTCGACGGCAAGACTTTCCAGTCGAGGTTTTCGAAGTCTCACTTCGGACAAGAATCGAAGGTGGCAGAGATGCCGATAACCATGCCATAATCGAGGAGATACAGATGGAAGTGGTCCGAAACGGCCTAATTATCAACGCCATACTCTTCAACGCGCAGATATGGTTCCCACGAGCCCAGCCAACCACTGTTCCAAATTCAGCCAATGGGGACGCACGCAGGCGTCCTGTGGAAAGGCAGCCGGGT